CCGTAGAAATAAAATAAATTGTTATAATCATATTTTTTCTCAAAATCTCTTCTTCATCTCAATTTTTTTTTAATATTTTAAGAAATTGGGCTTAACGTCATTATAACCCTAAACGTCTTGATAACCATAATGCATAAGGGAAGATCAAAATAAACTATGTTGTTGATAGAAGTAGAACAAACTAAAACTGTGTTGCATTATTGAACACCTGAATCTCTAGCAAATTAAAAGAAACATAAAATGAGATTCGAAAGTTTTGTATTTGATTCATTTCTCAAGTTACAAAAAAATAAAAATAAAAATAAAAGAACACTCAATAGTTCATCAACCTTTGGTTTCCTTACAGTTTATTACGTAAATAAACATGTAAAGAAGATGATGAACACTTAATCATCCATGCATGTATGCAAGAATGACATACACTCACTTGAATGAAAAAAGAAGCCGAAAGACAGTGCAAGAGCAAGGGCGAATAATTAAGCAAATTAAAAGATACGAAATCCTTAATTGTCAGGCAGACATAGAAAATCGCTTGGGGCTTTCTTTGAACAAAAATTGAAAAGGAAGGTAAATGAGATTGGAATGTTAATATTAATGCCACAAACATTTGCTTTAAGGGCAGTGCAGAGACAAACTGCAGCATCAAAAGAAGCTAGTCCTTCGAAGAAAGAGCAGCAAGGTGTCTTTTGCGCTCCCGTTGAGAAGTTAAACTTCCCATCTAGCACACTCGAACATACTCCTAGTTTAAGTGAGTCACGAGGGCACGATGAAACTGAAGGATCGGGTTTTGGTGGTTTTGGGGGATTTGGTTTATGCGGGCTCGGGGGCTTGGGCTTATGCAGGCTTGGGGGTTTCGGGGGACACTTCACGCATGCAGAGACATGTGCGAAGAAGAGAATATTGAGTAAGAGGAAAATGGCAAGCGAAGAACTAGTTTTCGGAGCCATCTCAAATCAATCCTATGTATGTTAGTATGTATGTTTCCTTCTTTGTTTAATTAATTTGAATCGCAAGTAGCACTGCTATTAAACTTTTTGGTGTAAAGTACTACTAGTTAACTAGCAGGGCATAAAAGAAACGAGTGTCGGTGAAGATGAGAATTGTTTGTGTGAATGGTGGCTTTTATAGTGCTCGTGATGTTGTGGGGTTGATGAATTGTAAGAATTTACGTGAAGAGTTAGCCTAAAAAGTAGAAAGGGTCTTAGACTCTTAGCTATATTAAGGCAAAGAATTAACCATGTTTTTTTAATTTGAAAATTTTAGTGGGCATTAGGGCATAGCAAACGATGATCCTGCGACTCAATCCCTTCTCCGATTTCACGGTAAGATAAATTGAATCCACATGCAGAGAATTATTCAAAGTGTTACTAATTGCGGTAAGAAACTAGCCAGATCCTATAAGTGGAAATTAAAATTATGCAAGATACGTGTTACCTAATAATTTGTCCCAAAGTCCAACCCAAACCCAAGTCCAGCAATACGTAATTAGAAATCTTTGGTAATTCTTTAGAAAATCGCAATGATATTAAGAAGTTGCCCACTTATTTTACCATCTACGCACTAATATATTAATGTTGATAAAATTTAATTTATTCTTATGTACCATGCATTCATTATTGGGATAGGTTATTGTGCCTACTCTTATTTTACCTACTTTTGCCTACCCCTTTCGTTACCGTTCGATTACCATCTCATCCAATGATCCATATTTGTGATATAAAATAAACCTTTTTTTTTCCTTTCTTTCTTCTCACTTTCTCCCATACCCTTTCTCTCTCCTCCCCTTTCTCTCTTCCTCTGCCATATACCTATTTTTTTCCTTTATCGTTAATCTCTGCTCAGGTGAACGGCGCAGAAGCATTTGAAATCAATTACCACAGCATTTGAAATCATCGTCAATATACATTAGTCTCTGTTTTTATTATTGTAATATAAATTTTCTCCTTCTGAATCAGTTTCTATCAAATTACCAGTGTCAATGGATTGAAAAATCACAACAAGTTTTTAGATCTGAAGAACAACATAAATTTTATAAATTAATAAGATTGAATCGATGACTAACAAAGAAGTTTTAATGTGATTCAAAAGATCTGTGCAGAGTTGGAAAAGATTCAAAATAAATAAAAAAATTAAAGAATAAAAAAATTGATATTGGAAAAATCTGGAAAGAGGGTTAATTGGTGCCATTCCAGCAATTATGTTGATACGGATAGCCAATTAATTATTAGAAATTAAGAGTATCTATCATGTGGAAGAACAGATCGACATATTGAAGCAGAGACAAGGAGGATTCTGTGAACAGATCGACCTAGTGGCACCACCGCTTTGAATCACATCAAAACTTCTTTGTTAGTCATCGATTCAATCGTATTAATTTATAAGGATTAAAAATATCATTAGAATCGAACAGTTTGTCAGGAGATTGAGGTCCACGACGGCAGAAGGGAAAAAAATTAGGTATATGGCAGAGGAAGAGAGAAAGGGGAGGAGAGAGAAAAGGTATGGAAGAAAGTGAGAAGAAGAAAAAAGGGAAAAAAAAGGTTTATTTTATATCACAAATATGGATCGTTGGATGAGATGGTAATCGAACGGTAATGAAAGAGGTAGGCAAAAGTAGGTAAAATAGGAGTAGGCACAATAACCTATCCCTTCATTATTTGTATAGTTGAGTAATTTTTTTAACTATTGTATTGATTGTCACTACAAAAAAATGTATGATTAGTGGAAGTTTTTTTACTGTAGGTCAAGAAAATCTCCATTAAATAATTTAAGGTTTTAAACCTCCACAATTTGACATTACGTTTTGTTATTTTAAATTGCTTGAAAATATATAATATATCACCCCTTCCTAAAATAATAATAATAATAATAATAATAAGACATTGTAGACTTTCTGTACCAGCATTGCAAGTTGTGGAGCAGTGGCGGATCCAGAAAAATTTCTTTATGTCCGCACATTTAGTGGCAGGGGTTCGGGAAAATTTAAAAAAAAAAAAATTAAAAAATGTTGGCTTCTACAATATTCACTTTTTTTTACAGGACGTTAGTTTATAGGCTAATTACGATAGATGTAATTTTTTATTTAAAATTTAAATTTAAATTCTTTGGTATTAATTAAACACATTTTTTAAAAAACAAATTTTTTCTCTATTAATTTATAATTTTTATTATTTTTTTAAATTGGATATACATATATATTTAAATATTTTATGTTGTTTACCAAAAAAGCTTTTATGTTAAATATATTTTCAAAAAAAATTTGTACGCTTTTTTTTCTTCTATTTTTGTATTTCTTTTAAGTTACAATTTAAATTTATTTTCTCTTAAAGTATAAATATGTCATTTCTTTTAAATATGTCAAAAAAATAATTTTTATTGTCTGCAGTATAAGCCCAATACGACGTCGTTTTGGACGGAAATCATGGTGTTTTTATAATTTTAATTTATTTCAGGGTTATAATAGTCTTTCTATTTATAATTTTTTAGAATTCAATACCAAAACGACGTCATTTTGGGAATAAATGCAAATAATTTATCTGTTGTAACTGCAGAAATATTTTTTCCTAAATTTAAATTTAATATAAAATTGTAGATTAAACGATAAAATATCTAAATTTATAAAAATATATGTATAGTTAATAAAAATTAATTTAATATTTAAAAGAAATGACATATTTATACTTTAAAAGAAAATAAATTTAAATTGTAACTTAAAAGAAATACAAAAAAAGCGTACAAGTATTTTTTTGAAAATATATTTAACACAAAAGCTTTTTTGGTAAACAACATAAAATTTTTAAATATATATGTATAACCATTTTAAAAAAAATAATAAAAATTATAAATTAATAGAGAAAAAATTTGTTTTTTAAAAAATGTGTTTAATTAATACCAAAGAATTTAAATTTAAATTTTAAATAAAAAATTACATCTATCATAATTAGCCTGGAACTAACGTCCTGTAAAAAAAATGAATATTGCAGAAGCCAACGTTTTTTTTTAAAAAAATTTTCAAAATTTTTTCGAATCCCTGCCACTAAATGTGCGGACATAAAAAAAAATTTTTGGATCCGCCACTGCCCCACAACCTGCAATGCTGGTACAGAAAGTCTACAATGTCTTATTATTATTATTATTATTTTAGGAAGGGGTGATATATTATATATTTTCAAGCAATTTAAAATAACAAAACGTAATGTCAAATTGTGGAGGTTTAAAACCTTAAATTATTTAATGGAGATTTTCTTGACCTACACTAAAAAAATTCCACTAATCATCCATTTTTTTGTAGTGACAATCAATACAATAGTTAAAAAAATTACTCAACTATACAAATAATGAATGCATGGTACATAAGAATAAATTAAATTTTATCAACATTAATATATTAGTGCGTAGATGGTAAAATAAGTGGGCAACTTCTTAATATCATTGCGATTTTCTAAAGAATTACCAAAGATTTTTAATTACGTATTGCTGGACTTGGGTTTGGGTTGGGCTTTGGGACAAATTATTAGGTAACACGTATCTTGCATAATTTTAATTTCCACTTATAGGATCTGGCTAGTTTCTTACCGCAATTAGTAACACTTTGAATAATTCTCTGCATGTGGATTCAATCTTACCGTGAAATCGGAGAAGGGATTGAGTCGCAGGATCATCGTTTGCTATGCCCTAATGCCCACTAAAATTTTCAAATTAAAAAAACATGGTTAATTCTTTGCCTTAATATAGCTAAGAGTCTAAGACCCTTTCTACTTTTTAGGCTAACTCTTCACGTAAATTCTTACAATTCATCAACCCCACAACATCACGAGCACTATAAAAGCCACCATTCACACAAACAATTCTCATCTTCACCGACACTCGTTTCTTTTATGCCCTGCTAGTTAACTAGTAGTACTTTACACCAAAAAGTTTAATAGCAGTGCTACTTGCGATTCAAATTAATTAAACGAAGAAGGAAACATACATATTAACATATATAGGATTGATTTGAGATGGCTCCGAAAACTAGTTCTTCGCTTGCCATTTTCCTCTTACTCAATATTCTCTTCTTTGCACATGTCTCTGCACGCGTGAAGTGTCCCCCGAAACCACCAAGCCCGCATAAGCCCAAGCCCCCGAGTCCACATAAACCAAAGCCCCCGAGCCCGCATAAACCAAATCCCCCAAAACCACCAAAACCCGATCCTTCAGTTTCATCGTGCCCTCGTGACTCACTTAAACTAGGAGTATGTTCGAGTGTGCTAGATGGAAAGTTTAACTTCTCAACGGGAGCGCAAAAGACACCTTGCTGCTCTTTCTTCGAAGGACTAGCTTCTTTTGACGCTGCAGTCTGCCTCTGCACTGCCCTTAAAGCAAACGTTTGTGGCATTAATATCAACATTCCAGTCTCATTTACCTTCCTTTTCAATTTTTGCTCAAAGAAAGCCCCAAGCGATTTCCTATGTCTGCCTGACAATTAAGGATTTCGTATCTTTTAATTTGCTTAATTATTCGCTCTTGCTCTTGCACGGTCTTTCGGCTTCTTTTATCATTCAAGTGAGTGTATGTCATTCTTGCGTACATGCATGGATGATTAAGTGTTCGTCATCCCTTCCCTTCTTTACATGTTTATTTACGTAATAAACTGTAAGGAAACCAATGGTTGATGAACTATTGAGTGTTCTTTTATTTTTATTTTTATTTTTTTGTAACTTGAGAAATGAATCAAATAAAAAACTTTCCAATCTCAATCTATGTTTCCTTTAATTTGCTAGAGATTCAGGTGTTCACTAATGTAAGGCAGTTTTAGATTGTTCTACTTCTATCGACAGCATAGTTTATTTTGACCTTCCCTCGGGCATATGAAATGGATCAAGTCTTAGGAATTGAAAGAGTAATCTTTGTACACAATATTATATCCTTATGCTTGCAAATGTGCAAAGAGATTATTTCCTGGATTTAAACATGTGTCCTTCCACTTCTCCAAGCTCGCCCTTTTTATATTACTTCTATTTAAATAAATTTAATTGAAGTTGTTCAATCCCCATTAACCAGTACCGTTAATGACTAGTTGATCAGATGTATTAACATTGATTCAAAGGTTTGGTAATTTTCGAGGTTCAAGCTATCTGAGTACTTCAACACATGCATTATGGTTATCAGGACGTTTAGGGCTATAATGACGTTAAGCTCAATTTTTCAAAATATTTTAAAAAAAAATTGTGATGAAAAAGAGTTTTTGAGAAAAAAATATGGTTGATAATATAATTTATTTTATTTCCACTGAGAGAACATATATATTTAATAAATAAGAGGGGTGTTTACTGGAAAAAAATAAGAAATAAAATAAAAAGAGGGACATTATATTTACAATCTCTTTTCGCTTACAACATCTTATAACCAAATCTTAATCATTGATTTTTTTCAATCAAACGGTTATAATTTATTAAGTCATACTTATTAATTAATTATTAATTCTCAATAAATTATAATTATCGTATTGGTGAAAATCAACAGTTAAAAATTGATTGTAAAATGTTGTAAATATAATCTTTCTCAATAAATAATGTATACATAATTTTAATAACACATTTTATGTGGTTTTTTTTTCCGGTAAACTTATGTGGTATTTATTTAATAAATAAATAGTGACAATTTTAAAAATATTTCTTATTTTTATAAATTTCTATTCCTGATCTAATGGTTCATTCTATGGAACAGATAAATAAATCGATTTAATTTATCAAATATTATTTCTTGGACAATAAAACTATTTTTGGAAACCAACCCACCCGAAAAAAATTTGTTGGAACGCTTGATCTCCATGATCCTGTTTACACTATATATAATATGGGATTTGCATCTATTATGTCACATGACACACAAAAATTTTCTACACGTATAACATTTTGTGGCGCCCGCACTTTAAAAACAAAAAAAAAATTAAAAAAATTAACGCACGAAAAACAAATTTCTATAACATTACACAATCACTTTTCCTACAACGTAACTCTTATAAAACCCATATAATATTTACCCATTTGTTGAAAATTTGAATACACTTATTCAAACATGAAGCACGTGCTGATATGATGATCATGCTGCAGCTGCAACTAAGTGATTCAGTTTCCTGTTTTATGTCACGTGTTCTTTGTGTATCAGCTTATATAAGTTAGTTAGCAGTTCCGGATATCTAGGGACTTAGTTATTTTCTGTTATGTAACTACTTAGCCTTGAAGCTTCACATAGCTTCATGGGCCCAGTTTTATGGGCTTTCTTTTCTCCTTAGCTGAGCTGTATAAATTGGTGCTAGTTGCATCAGTGTATTTTTCAAGAATCATTTTTACCGAAATTAAGAAAGTTAAGAACACTTTCTAAAGCTTTATGCGTGATTACCGCAGGATCTCGTTGATCAGCTATATATCAGACATCCAATACAAATGTAATCACCGTTTGATCGATAAGATTAATTGATGCCAACAAAATGAATAATACTTAATGCTTAAAGATACAGTGTCACACATATACATTCTATTTGATTTGTTACAAATATATGGCTTGTAATGTTGCTGAATCTGGCCATACGGAAAAAGGTCAGGCCTTGACAAAAGACAAGTATACAAACATAATTAAAAAAATAGTAAAGGAAATCAATAATTGAGCTTGCACACACAAATTAATAAGATTCAAACATCTTCAGATCACAAGTGCTACAGTAGCACCAAAAATTTATTCTCTATTTTGGTGGCGTCACTGGCGTGTCTGAATATATACCATCTTCCGAAACTCAACAAGACAGTTTTTCTGACCTTCTATCACCCAATTTAAGTTTTGTATTTTTTGTGTTTTTATTTATGGTCAATGTGTAATTTTAGTTTTTCAATATTTTTTTACGCGAACTTAATATTTATCTATTTTATTTATATAATCAAGTTCTTCCGTTAATTTCTCTCTACCTAATATATATCCCTAATTTACTCAAATAATTAGGGATTCAGCTAGGATGGATGTAGGATGATAAATGATTTGAACTGTTCCAACTCTCGAAATTTGATGAAACTAGAAAAATTAATTATATGTAAGAAGCAAGGTTAAAATTTCGAAAAGGGAAAATTTTTGGATTTATTTTATTTTGAGTGAATTCTGATGTCTTGATGAAAGTTTAAAACGGTTTAATCAGTTAAATTGATTTGTGGGTTTTTCATTAGGTGGGTACCAATTAATGAAAAATACTGTTACCGGATCTAGATCCTCTAATGTAAAAATTCACATGACCATGTAATGTGGGGAATCATAACCATACAAAGGTGGATCAATGGTAAAAAAGAAGGAGAGAGAAAAAATAATAAAATAGGTAGTTACGAAATTATAACCGTTGATTTACCTTTGTATGGCTGTGATCTTTCTACATGACCATATCATGTTTTTTTGGCACATTAGAGAATCCATTCACCTAAAGTAGATTACCGATCGATCCAGCTCAATTGCAAAATATTTCAACCAAAGATATATTAGAAAACACATTGTTTTCCCATTAACATGTGCATATGCAAGTAATTAGAGAAGAGAAAGAATCATTTAATCACGTATTAAGTTATTGGGTTTGAATTGTTTTGTTAGTGCCATGCTTGAAGCTTATAATTAGGACTTTGCCAAGTGATGGGATCTGGGGAAAAATAACAGTTTAAATATATTCCTTATCTATGAAGTAATTGGAGGGAATTCAGTCCACTAATGTTTCAACGGATGGCGCTAATCAATTAGTTATTGGCAACTCAAGCTTGACCTAAAAATAAAATAAATTTGACATATTTTTTATTCAAAAAAATTCACATAACATTTAACCAATAACAAATAATATGTTAAATAAAAATGCAATTATGATCATAAATAAACTTGGCCAAACAGTATCTTGAAAAAATAAAATAAAAAATAAAAAGCAGACAATAACCGGCCATTGATATAGAATAGTATCTACGTGACTTCATGATAAGGTGGTTGAAAGAAAATTCAAATAGCCAACTGATTCTGGACCTCAAGGATGGTGGTGGCGGAGTCCCTGAGCCTTTGCGTCTCCTCTTCTGTCAAGTGCACATTGGTTACACCCAAAACCCCTCCTCTTCCAAGCTGTGCTGGCAAGCTAAGGAACACTTCTCCACCATCGATCTCATAAAGACCCTTTGCGAGTACCGAGACTGGGTGGATCTTCCTTTGGTCCCTTAGAATGGTTCGTGCCAAGTTTGCCACCGAGTATCCTATCGCCCAAGAAGTGTACCCTTTCAAATTTATCACTTCATAAGCACTCTCTATAACCTCTTTGTGTATGTTCTCCAGCATTTCTTTCTCATACGCAATTTGCTGTTTCTCCAGAAAACTTAGCACCGGTACACCCCCAACACTTATGCTAGACCACAGCGCCACCGAGCTGTCACCGTGCTCCCCCACTATAAAAGCCTGCAATTACAAAATCACCCTCATTCATTACAAAACAAACACGCCCGCGGGCGCGCACACATATATATATACGGGGAGGGATCATTTGACTCAAGAGTAAGACTTAAAAATCTTACTCTTCATCGCAGCCGTTGATTTCCGTTCATCTAGCGCTTATAATTAATTGTTATAATTTATTAAATGATAACCATTAGATAAACGAAAATCAACGGTTGCAATGAAGAGTAAGACTTTTAAATCTTACTCTGGAGTCAAAAGAACCCTCCCCTATATATATATATACATATATAATATATATGTGTGTGTGGACCAGTGTTTTTCATATAAAAAGGGATAATTTTATTTTTTACATATGTATAGAAATATATGGGGCTCATACTTTTTTTTTTTTGTTCTCTTCACATGCTCCCACATGTGACCTACATATTTATACTTTTATGTGTATATAGGAGATAAATTATCTTCTATAATATGAAAATATTAATCTCTATGCATATAGGATTAAAGATTTTTCATGAGTGAAAGATATTATTTTCATACGACATGATATATCTTTAACCCATATATATGGGTAAATATTTCTACAGCCACTTTAGATAAGGTTATCTACAACTACCCAAAAACTACATCGTTTTGATTAATGAATGGTGTTTCTATAATTTTAGATGAATCAATGAAAGGTGTTTATGTAATTATTTTTATTTTTTTTATCATATACATTTTACTGAAACACTCTTATTATTTCACTTAAAAATTACAGAAACATCATTCGTTAAACAATAAATATATATATATATATATATATATATATATATATATATATATATAATATGAGAAAAATATTTTTTTCCTAAGAAAAAATTTCTTCACCTAACTCATATTTTCATGTGAATGTGATAAATTTTGTGCACAATAAAAGTACAAAAATTAAACCTACTATAAAAATGAGTTAAGGTATGGTATGAATGAAGGGAAAAAGGACCTGCACATCCTGAGCGTTGACGTCAAGATGATCAGCAATGAGGAAACGGAAACGTGAGGAATCCAAGTTAGTGCCGGAGCCAATGACGCGATTGGAGGGAAACCCTGAGAGCTTCCAAGCAACGTAAGTGAGCACGTCAACGGGATTCGAAACGATAAGAAGAACACAACGTGGGGAGTAACGAACCAAAGGTGGTATGATTTTCTGAAACAGAGTCACGTTCCTCTGCAGCAGGTTCAGCCTGGACTCGCCGCTGCTCTGGCGGACCCCAGCAGTGACAATGCAGAGGTCTGACCCCTCCGTGACTGAATAGTCGGTCGAGGCGTTGATCTTCGTGCGAGGGAGGAAGGCGGCGGCGTGCTGCAGGTCCAGCATCTCGCCGCGTAGTTTGTCGGGAATGGCGTCGACAAGGACAAGCTCGTCGGTGACGTCTTGAGTGAGAATGGTTTGGGCAATGGCCATTCCAACGTTGCCTGCCCCAACAACTGAGATCTTGTTGTGGCGCTTTGTGGGAGAAGGAGGGGCAGCGTGGAGGATGGACTTGAAGAAAGCTTGGGTTAGGTCTAAGCCATCTGGCCCCAGTGACGAACCTGAAGTGCTCTTGTGCATTTTTTTTTTTACTTCTTTGAGAACAAAGATGAATGGAATGGATTATTTGTTGCCCTTATGAGGTTCAGGGAAGCGTATTTATAATAACGTGGAGGATCGAGGAGATCAATAAACAACGGTGAAACTTGGGTAAAGGTAAATGGTTTGGGACTTTCTGTGGGAAGAAAGGTAGGGCTTTTCAACAGTCAATCCTCTGGTTTCTTGATTCAAGAGGTGGGTGAGATTTTGCGTCATTTTTCCCGCCCATTCCACTTTTTTTTGTTTTTTGTTTTGTCGCCGGTGACTGCCAAATTTTCTTGCTAGAATAAGTTGCACCCTTCCGTGGGGGAAAAGTTACGGCGGCTTATTAAGTTTCAATAGTTTCTTGAAGGAAATTGGCTAACTTGATGGGTTGCAAAAGGAAAATAACGTGTCGGCGAGGTGTCATTTCGCGACCATTCAATAACGTGCACTTATACTTTTTATAAGCTTATTACTTCTAAACTTTCTTGCCATAATAAGTTGTACCAATTTTTTATGTGTAATGATAATGTAATTATAATCATAAGGGACGTTGAATGAGATAATTATAATTTTTTAATAATTACGAAAAATTAAATATTAATAAAACATTGTTTAGATTTTAATTATAATTCCTTTTTGTCTCATTTCAACTATAGGAAATTAGGAATAGTTTATGGTCAAAAATGACTTCCGGAGACTAAATGGTCGTCGTATCAGACGAGACGAGCACCCAATGGAAACTTCTACGACGCGAAACGGAGACAGTGTACATGACGGATGATTTACGATGCTTACTTTTTGCCTTCTTTCTCTTCTTTTTCTTTTGTTCCTACGTCCTGTTAGAGAAACAACAAACATATAGACAATAGACAGAGGTAAAATTAACTCAGATTAGCAATTTCTGGGAGGATCTAAAAGCACAAATTCAAAACTGGATTATTCATGCACTTATTAATATTTGTTAATTTAAAAATAATAATAATAAACAAAATTAACTATCAGTTCAGAGTAGGGGTGACACTGGGCTGGGCCGGGCCGGCCTACAGGGGTCTACGGCTCGGCCAGGTCAAACCTAGTATATTTCGTAAAATAGGTCGGGTTTGGGCCTTGAAAAAGCTTGTTTAATAAAAAATGTCGTAGGCTCATTTTTACAAGGCATGGCCTATAAGTCTACAGGGCGGCCTATATTGTACTATTTATTTTAAATAAAATAAAATAGAATAAGTATGACTTGAAGAAAAAACAAAAGATATAAATTTAATTAATTGTAATTATTTATAACTTAATTATATTCGATTATATTTTAATAGAAATCTGACGTTATTTCTTATGTAGGAGGAATCAACATCTCAGTACGTTAGATTGTGTATATGAATATATTAAAAGGTTTTTGGGAGATATTATACTTACTACAAACATCATGATGTGTTTGTTAGATTCATGTAGTTATTTTAATTTACATAGTATGGATTAGTTTGTTGGATCTGATGAAATATATGTTATTTAGTTTAAGCATTTTGCTTTTGAAATTGACTTAAATGCATATTGTATGAGTTTTATTGTGATTCATGATTCTGTTTGGACGTTGAAATTATGATTTTTGGTATAGCAACATAATTTGAATATTTTATAAAGTTGATTCATGATTCTGCTGCTTGAAAGTTAAAAATTAACAAGTTAACGGGCTAGGCCGGGCCATTTATTTTTTTATAAACGGGTCAAGCCAGGCTAACAGTTAGACTCGTACTAGACTTGGTCCAGACCAAATTAAATTTTTTTGAAGTAGGCTTGAACTTTTCGGGTTTAGACTTTTCACCCCTAGTTCAGAGTGATGGCATATAAATCAAGTTTGCAGTTTGCCAGTAGGTATATATTTGGGCCTATCCTATTTAACTGGAATTTCTTTCAAGAGCTGAACCCAATATTTTGTGAAGCTAGTACGGTTCAATTTATCGAGTGCAAATGGTCTTATTTGGCCCAATATGATTTTTGGGATATACCAAAATTTAAAATCAAAATTAGTTCATCTAGTAGAATACACTGGGTTTAAGAAAACATTCTCTTTTTACATAAAGGTGAAAAACAATCGGTTTGAAATTTGAACTGTGACTTAAAACAATTGAATTGGAGCGTGATCCTATACTCTATAATGGGAGCCCAGACGAAGCTTGACAGAGTTCAACTACAAGTGTCTCATATATATCTATTTCGCCTTTCTTTGTAAAAGGGTCCCTTCCTATAACTACACTACAACTATATTCAATTTCACTCTGCAAACTGCCATTAAAATGTACACAATTCTAAATATACTTTAGTTGAGAAAATTATAAGAGTAAATGTACATTTTCGTCCTCCAAAAGATATTTATGAGATCACATTGTTCATTGTTCTGTGGATATACCGAATTGGTCCTTCATAAATAAACTTTACATTGAATTGGTCATTTAATGTCCGTTTTTGTTATCACATAGATCTTCAAAATGATATTAAATTGTCATTAAAGAACTTATGATATTGATTATCAGTGAAGTACCAATTTGGTCATGTTGATAGCCCATGTAACGCGTGTATATATTTGGAGGACATTACTCAAATAATAATCATCGATGAAGGTGATATTGAATAAGAATTGCCCAACAGTCGGGGGTGAAGTTTTTTAGTTCTTTTGTACTTGTGCTGATTTTTCTTAATTCTTTTCAGATTAACAAAACACTCGAGCCCACTAGTCCAGTGTCGACATTGACTTCAGTGATTGCAAAAACTCTTAAGTAATATGTTGTTATTGTTAAGATGAAGCAAGGATCCGTTTGCAGCAGAAGATTAAAAAAAGTGTTTTTTTTTTTTGTTTTTTTTTTTTTTTGAAATTGCTCAGTCTTTACTCTTCATATTCTTTCTGTTTTACATGTCACATTAACAGGGATTTTTGCTACATATCTTCGGGTTGTTCTTTCTTGTTTGATGTTGGACAAGCACATAAGCCGTCTGGTCATAGTTGTCCACACTTGGCCACAGCCACTGTTGTTAAGCTGTACAGGGTCTATTTTTCATTAAGACTGTGTCCTGTGTACGTAGGATATAGGGTCCCATGGAACATCTGTGTGTGTTCATGGAACATTCAGCTGTTTGGCTGGTCCACGACTCTAATTTATGTCTGCTAGAAATCTAGGCCTGAAGTGATCCGAGAAGGTTGTTGATTTATGGCTGTCTCTTGTTGTATTTAAAGAGGATTAGTAATTTCTTCCACTTAGTAAAAAAATATCTACTCTTGGCTGTGATTTTTCCTTTATCATTTGAGGATATACTAGTGTGGACTTCATTGGTATTCCTAAAACAGGGGTTATTGGGTAGTTTTTAATCCATTTGCGTTTTGCTTTTTTTCATGTCGTTTTACGTTTGTTAATTAAACGCTGCAGTTTTGCTTATTCATATATACAAAACTGATATCCTTTATTTTTACACAACTCGCATTCTACCTAATTTGTTTTCTCTCTCTCCGTTTTCTCTCTCGTTCAAAAGCGCTCTGAAACCCTATCATAGGGCTTGCTGATTTCATCAAGAAATCATCCCCTCTGTTGGTTAATCTTGTGATTACCTGTGTGCTTCTCTTTCTCCTTGTGTGCACCTCTGTTTTCTTGGTCTCTTTTGCAGGATCGATTGAAGCTCAAGATAGTGCTGAGGTGTTGGCACTGTCATGTGTCTCTCATGAGGAGGAATGGGTGATGGATTCTGGCTGCACCTTCCACATGACACCTAGGAAAGATTACCTTTGCGGCTATAAACCCCTAGAAGGTGGTAAGGTCCTCATGGGTAATGACCATACCTGTGAAGTGCCTGGTGTAGGGGCTGTAAAACTTAAATTGGGTGATGGTTCTCTCAAAATCCTAAAGAATGTTAGGCATGTTCCGAACCTTAGGAGAAGTCTAATATCTCTTGGGATGTTAGATACTGTTGGTTTCTCCTTCAATAGTCAAGGAGGGTACCTTAAGGTACTTAAGGGTTCCCTTGTGTCCTTAAAGGGAAAGCTAGTAGATGGTTTGTACATTTTGGAGGGTGAGGCAGTTACACAAGCCTCATGTGTGGCTTCAAAGAGCCATGATGAGTCCTTCCTTTGGCATAAAAGGTTAGGACATATCAGCAACCAAGGGTTGCAAAAGTTATGTAATCAAGGATTACTTTCTTTAAAAAAATTTAAAGATCTTATTTTTTGTGAAAACTGTGTTCTAGGAAAATCACATAGATTACCCTTTAACACAGCAAGTAGCATGGCTGAAAGTATTCTTGAATACATACACTCTGATTTGTGGGGCTCTCCAAATGTGCCAAATTCTCTTTCTGGCTCTCATTATTTTCTGTCCATGGTTGACTCTTATTCGAGAAGGGTGTGGACCATGTTCCTTAAGCAAAAGGATCAAGCCTTTGAAAGCTTTAAGGAATGGAAAAATCTGGTTGAAAACAAGTCTGGGAAGAGGGTTAAGGTATTGAGAACTGATAATGGCCTGGAATTCTGTAGTAATCAATTTAATGATTATTGCAAATGTAATGGGATTACAAGGCACATAACATGTGCTAACACACCACAACAAAATGGTGTGGCTGAGAGGATGAGTAGGTCAATATTGAATAAGGTCAGATGTATGTTGCCGAATCTGGCCTAAATAAATCATTTTGGGCAGAAGTTGTTTCAACAGCCTGTTATGTAATTAATAGGTCACCAGCTGCTGCCCTACATTTTAAAACTCGTACGGAGCTGTGGTCAAATAAACCTCCTAGCCTAAATCACTTAAAGCCTTTTGGTTGTCTTGCTTATGTGCACTCTAAGCAAGATAAACTGAGTCCTAGGGCCCTTAAAGCAATCTTTATAGGATACCCTATGGGTGTAAAAGGCTACAAAGTTTGGCTAATTGCTGAAAGGAAATGCATTGTTAGTAGAGATGTCATCTTTGATGAGGTGACTTTCTACAAAGATATTTCAAAGGAGAAAAGTGTAATGCAATCTC